TGTGTGCCTTAGTCTCGGGTTCTAACCTGAAAGCTCCCCAGAGGCAGGATTGTTTGTCTTTTCCTTTTCATCCTTGCCTCCCCTAGCCTACAAGGTACGCACTTGGAGCCTCAAGCGTGTTTTTTTGTTTTTGGTTTTGTTTTAATTGGGAGAATGTGAGTTCTGCTGAGTGGGAGGCTTTAACCATCTGGTTTGGCAAGGTGGGCCCAGGGGGCTGGAAAATTAAATAATGGTACCTCCCCCCTCCCTTTTTGTCTTCCTTTGTTCTGTTTGGAATAAACATTTACTGAACACCTAAAAGGTGTTAGCTTGTGTGCTCAAGGGAAGAATTAGGAACAAGCCGTGCTTCTGATAGAAAACTAAATGTATTATGTAGTTAACACTACCGGTGCCTGGAGCCAGTATAGCCAGGTTTGGAAAAGCAAAAGGAACAGCTCCTTACAGGTGCGTAGCACCCCCCGCCTGCCCCCAGTCCCTCTCCTCCTCTCCACAGTGGGATGGCTGCTGGCATTGAGTTTGGATAGGCCATCCTATCTCTAGTGGTTGGAAAGGTGGACTACATATTGAAATCACCTGGATCCCATCTCTGACCTTCTGATGTAATTGTAGGTTCGGCCTGGGCCTTGGGAGTTTCAAAACTTCCCCAGGTGATTCTAAGAGCAGCCAGGCTTGAGAGCCACTGTTATATATGACCCCAGGTCAATTTTCTTAGTCTTTTAAACTTTTTTTTTTTGGCCATGCGTTATGGCTTGTAGGAAGTTAGTTCCTCAACCAAGGATTGAACCTTAGCAGTGAAAGCACAGAGTCTTAAAGCCTGCTGCAAAGTCAGAGAATTCCCTCTTAGCCTTCATTCCTGTTAATTGCTGGTAATATTCCAATACGTGGATATGTTGTTCTTTAGTCGCTAAGTCCTGTCTGACACTTTGGCGACCCCATGGACTGTAGTCTGCCAAGCTCCTCTGTGCATGGGATTTCCCAGGCAAAAATACTAAAGTGGGTTGCCATTTCCTTCTCCAGGGGATCTTCCCAACCGAGGGATCGAACCGAGTCTCCTGCGTTGGCAGGCAGATTCTTTACCAACCAGGGAAGCCTATATGGATGCAGCGTGTTTTTAAAAATCTTTTTATTATTTATTTACTTGTCTGGCTGCACCGGGTCTTAGTTGTTTCACCTGTGAGTGAGTGGCTTCCACACAGTTTTCTAGTCCTGATCAATTTGAAGATGAAATTGAGTTCAGGGACCATACGTGAGTTGTTAAAAATCACACGGTCACAATGGTACCTCTGCACGTACGGATGACCTACTAAGAGGCACGTCCTCCTTGATACCCATGTGGTCACATGCACAGAGGTGACACCAGACCTCCGGATTTTGAGGTCTCATGAAAAGCACGGAGTCTTGAGAGAGGAGCCTTCTGTGATGCCAGCTTGGGTTGAGGTGCAGGGTTCTTGCCATCAAGTGTCAGAGCTCGTTCTAAGCTTCCTTAACGAGGAAAGCAGCAGACTGGAAGGGAGAACCCTAAACACACTAGGCAGATTAAGACAGAACTTTTCTCTCTCCCTGGTTTGAGAGGATTTAACTGGAAGTGCTTGAAGTTAGTCATTGAACATTTTCTGTTTTTAAAAATCTTCTAATGTATACGAATCAAATACCAACCAGCAGTTAAGTTATAAAAGTGAACTGCTTGTAAAAGTCCACAAATTATGCCTGGAAATCCTAACTAGAAACCAGCATCCTGCCTCAAAGTCAACACATTATTTTAAGTTTTAGAACAAGTTGCCGTTTCTTCAGTTGCATGCTAAATGCACTTGGCGCTTGAATAATATAGAAGGTCAGGGTGCTGACCCTCTGTTATCGTCAAAACTCCGAGTGTAATTTTCAGTCCGCCTGCATATCCCTGGTTCCTTTATATCTAAGGTTATGCATCTATGGACTCAACCAACCATGGATGGTGTATCACTGTAGCATTTACTATTGAAAAAAGTCTGGGTGTACGTGTACCCATGCAGGTAAACCCCATGTGGTTCGGAATCCACTGCAGTTGCTTGGGTTGAGTGACAAATTAGCAAGTGAAACTCTACTTAAAATGCCCTTGAGAGGGAATCTCTTAATTGCCCATTAACATGTGATATACATAGTTTTGTTCTGAACACTATATGGCAAGATGTGTGCATATATACACACATATATTTGTTTATGAAATGTATGCAGTCATGCTCAGTATTTACGTTTATTGAAGGACTCATTTAGAAATTATCTTAGTATTTTGCTGTTTGGAATACTTTATGGCAATCTTAAGAAGCAATCTTCCAACTTGCTGATTCTTTTTATAGTTACTATTGTAACTGGTTGTCAATGTCTCTAACTTCCCTGGTTTCTGTTTTTCTTTGTTGTCATTTCTTTGTTGTCATTTTCTTTGTTGTCAGGAAAAGATGTCATTTTCCTTCACATCTTTTGTAGGGTGGCTATAGGAATCCTTACATGTTGGACAACGCTTTTGATTTCTTTCTTTTCCCTAATATTTGTTTATTTGGCTGTGGTGGGTCTTAGTTGCGACACTTGGGATCTTTTTTTTTTAGCAGCAGCATACAGGCTCCTGGCCTGTGGAAGAGTCAGTGCATCTCTGGGAGGAGAGGGTCTGCTGGGCGGGGGCTCGCCCTCTTGTCCTGTCTGTACGTGGTGCCCGCTGTCCTGCCAGGAAGGATTTGTTTGTGTGTCTGTCTCTCCATCTGGCCCGTGGGCTCGTTAAAGGAGCGGCATGTCTGTTTCCCCTCGTATCCACAGCATGACCTCAACCACATGAGAAATCAAAAACCATACAGAAAAAAAAAGGAAATATTTTTAAAAGGGTAAATTACAACTCCACCAGATACTATTTCTCTGCTGGCTCATTAGCAAAAACCAAAAGTCTGAGCACACATGTTGCTGATGAGTCTGTAGCAACACATGCGCTCTTCTTTAATATTTATTTTTAAACATTCGGCTGTGCCCTGTCTTAGGGCTGGCAGCGGGTTCTTAATTGTGCCCTGCGAACTCTCTTAGTTGTGGCGTGTGGGATCTAGCTCCCTCATCAGGGATCGAACCCAGGCCCCCAGCACTGGAAGCGCAGGGTCTTAAGCCTCTGGACCACCAGGGAAGTCCCTGGGTTTTTTTTCAATGGGCCTAAACCCCGGGAGCCCCTCTGCCTCCTGCCCCAGCTTTCACCGCCTTCCCCGGCTGTTTCACTGTGTCAGGCTTTGGGCGTCCGTGTCCCGCAGGCGCTGGTACCGAGTGCAGGGCACAGCCAAGCAGTCGGCGGTGCTTTTTCCGGCGAGCGTTTGGAGCTGGGAGGCTGAACACGTGGGTGGTAGAGCGCCCCTGGGTCTTCAGGCACCGCATGTGCTGGCAGCCTCAGTCCGGCCCAGAGCCGGGACCGGGGGCGGAGCAGGATCGGGTGCCCGTCTCATTCCAGCGCGTGGGGCGCCGGGCCCTGTCTCTGCACTCCCCGCGCTTCCCCCCTTGCTCGAGGGCGAGTTTCCTGAGCTGATACCTCTGCTGTGGCCCTCTGTCTTTATCACAGCAGCGCACCAGGTTTGACTTCCTCCTCCAGCCGTTACTGAACCGCAGCCTGTGTGTGTGTGGTCCTTGTTTTGTCTCCTCGGCCTCTCCTTCCTTTCCTCCCTCAGAGTGCTGCCGTTCTTTCGCCGCTCAGTCGTGTCCGACTCTCTGCAGCTGCCTGACCTGCAGCACGCCCGCCTCCCTCGCCCTTCACCGCCTCTGAGAGTTTGCTCAGACTCGCGTCCATCAGTCATGGTGACGCTGTCTAACCATCTCCCCTTCTGTCGCCTTCAGTCTCACAGCCTCAGGGTCTGTTCCAATGAGTCGGCTCTTCTCATCAGGTGGCCAAAGTATTGGAGCTTCAGCATCAGTCCTTCCCGTGACTGTTCAGGGTCGATTTCCTCTAGGATGGACTGGTTTGAGCTCCTTGCTGTTCAAGAGACTCTAGTAGTGCTGGGTGTCAAGTAATTCCAGGATTCTCCATGACCCTCAGCCCCTAACCTGGAGAAGCAGTGAGCCTTCAAACGAGGGGGACGGCTGCCGCCCGTGCTCCCAGCAGGACCTGGAGGAAGGAGCAGAGCCCTTCCCCTGCGGGCCTCTGGCACCTTTTCTCTAACCTGGCCCTGCTTTCTCATCCATCTGCGGTGTTGGTAGCGCTCAGCCCGTAATAATAACCGTAGTGGACACGCAGAGCGCATGGTGCCACGTGCTGGAGGCTTCTGGGCGCCTTCTGGGTCTTCACTATAAGATGGAGCCTGTTTTTCGCCTTATTTTGCGGAGGAGAAAACGAAAGCTTGGAGATACTAAGTTTGTCCCATCACATGGCTGGGCAGCGGGGAGCCGATTCCAGTCCCCACATGCTGGCCTGACGCTTCCTGCTCTTAGGCACTCATGCTTGGTGCCTTCAATGATGATCATTTAAAGTCATTGTCATCATTAATAATTCACTAGAAAAACTGGGCGATGATCCCGTTTTGGAATACCAAGTGCTCACTACCTGTACTTCTTTGAGGACGGGGTCCTTTTGGTTTTCTCTGTCTGTCCCCAGCACCCCTGGTGATTAGGAGCCTCTGGTGGGTGCTTGGTAATTGTCTGCTGGCCGAGTGAGCGGGCGGGAGGACTCCTCGAGGGCAGAAGCCCTCTTGTGCCCGCTGACAAGAGGCCTTTGAGCAGCGTGGTGCCCAGGGACCTGTCTCTAGGCTCGGAGGCACAAGCTGCGATCAGAAATCGAACCACGACTCCTGGGGCACTGGTGTGGGAATTCATCGGGGTCCCCTCGGGGAGTGGGGTTTGTACTGCTCCAACCAGAACTGTCTTCTTTTTGTCTCTCTTGAATAGTTTGTGTTTCTCACAGGCCACGAGGTTTTTCTGAGCCTGGGTATACAGGCACTTGCCTGTCTGGTCGGCATGGTAACCGATTGACCTTCTTTCTGACGGTCCTGAAGGAGCAGCCACTTCGGAAGATGGCGGAGGCGGTGTTCCGCCCCCCAAAGAGGAAGAGAAGAGTGCACGAGAGCTATGAGTCTCCCCTGCCCATCCCTTGCGGTCAGGACCGTGGTTCTGAGAAGGGCTTCCGAATCTTCCAGGCTGAGATGATAAACAGCCACGTGGTTGTGAGGGGCCTGGAAGACATGGAGCAGCTCTACGGGAAGGTAGGTACAGGCGGCTCGGCCTGACCGCCCCCCCCGCCCACCCCCAGAAGCAGACCACCAGTGACCCACACACGCTCCTCGAGGTCTGGTCCAGCGTGGGAGCCGAATCAGGTGCCCCGAGGACCATGACCCCCCCCCGCAGACCCACGTTGTAGCAGTGAATTTGGGTCAGTGCATTGACCTGTGTTGCTTCTTGATTGTAAAAGCAACGTGTGTTCGTTGTTTAAAAAAAAAAAAATTTCAAGCAGTTTACAGAAACGTCCTGGGTAAGAAGTAAAGTGTGGCCCTCACCCGCTTCCATCCCCGGGGGTGACCGTGGAGCCGCAGACCGTCGTGCTGCAGGGGAACCCAGATGAGGCCTCCGCTTGTCCTCCGGCTCCTTACCTGCCTGCCCTCCTGGTGGAGGACCTCTCCTCTGATGAGTTCTAGTTTTGGCTTTTGCCATCACTGATAGGTGTGGGTTGAGAGGGGAAGCTTCCTTATCTTCTGCCCCGTAGCCAGTTCAACGCTGGAGGCACTTTTAAGGCAGCGTTATAGAGGTAAGAAGCCGTAAAATTCGCCCTCCAAGTACAGACTCAGAGACCTGTGCAGCCACACCACGGTCCTGTTGTGGAGCCTCCCCACGGGCGCAGGAGCTGCCCCGTGTCCTTAATCCCTGCCCCACTCCCAGCCCAGGCGCTCCTGATCCCCTTCCTGCCTCTGTGAGTGTGACTCACTCGAGTCGTTTTATATAAAATCCATGTCGCAGCCAGCCTCCCAGAGAGGGATACGTGGATGGCATTGACCGTGGTGGGTCAGAGGTCCAGGCCAAGGGCAGTCTCCCCGACCGCCGCAACGCATAACATTTAGCAGAGGCTTTGTGAAGCGCTACACCGGTGATTTATTCTGACCGTTCAATCTGGGCGGAGGGTACAAGGTGTTCATTTTATTATTCTTTCAGTTGTCTGTGGGTTTAACTATTTTCTGGTTTTAAGAAATGGTAGAGAGGGAGCCAGAGTTTTTGGAGGCAGCAGGAAGGAGAGGAGGAGTATCAGTCTGGGTGCACGGGAACCCGAGAAGGTTTTGTGTCTGGTGGACACGGCTCCTGGCCCACGTGTGCGGAGGACACCCTGCCTCCGTCTGCCCTTCACCTTCAGCTCCCCGGGCTGGACTGAAAGCATTACTCCTGAGACACATGAGGTGCGCAGGAAACTTCCCGGCTCCCTTCACACAGTCGGAGGAAAAAAATGCTATGATCCATCTTCCTAGTAATTGTTACGTAATCAAAGGGAAGATATCAAGCTGTGAACAATGCAATGACTCTCTTCTTAACTCAAATAGGTCTCCTTCAGCTAAAAAATGAATAACTCAACATGAGCTAACTCTCTTTCTCCTCTTCCCCGAAGGGTTATTTTGGAAAAGGCATCCTGTCCAGAAGCCGACCAAACTTCACAATCTCAGATCCTAAGCTGGTTGCTAAATGGAAAGGTGAGACTTGTACGACGTTGCGTTCTTTTCGCAAATTATCTTTTTCTTCATTTTTAGCTCTCACACCAGATTATACAATAAAATCCCAAAGGAGAAGTAACATGCCACTGGCAATCTTACCGCTAAAAATAATCAACTAAAAAAATTTTAATCATGGTGAAAGGGCTCTTAACAATTGGTGAAAATATTTTTCATCTAATTGCTGAAATTAACAGAAATGTTACTCAGACTTTTCTGTCGTTAAGCATTGCCTAGCATGGGCATGTGGAAGGGTCTAGTCATTAAGTGTCTGCTCACCCATATGGGAGGCAAATTTTATATTTTATTTTTAGGTTTGGAATTTGCAACAGTAACCATGACATTGATGTGTTTGTAAAATGTACTAATCTGTGTAGTTCTCAATAGCTGTTCCTCTTTATTTTATAAATCTGTCATCTTGGTGTATTTTTCTAAGGGGAGTCTCATGGTAAGTATGTAACCAATACCAGCAGGTTAAAACATAATTAGAAAGGATTTTTTAAAAGCATTATATTGGCAAGAAAAAAATAGAAATTAAAACTGCATTGAGGTACTATTTCAGCAGTCAGAATGACAGAGATCCTAAAGTTTCATGGCGTGCCCCATTGGCAAGCCCTGAGAAGCACTCTCACGGGATCCTGCGGGGCTGCAGGTGGCATGGCCATGATGGAGAGGAATTGGATGTCTCAAAAATCACATGTACACTTACTCCCCCTCCCCCACCTCTGCTCCCCCCCGAACCCCTGGTAACCTTCACATGCTTTCTGTGCCCTTGATTTCGCCCACTATAAATATTTCTTGTAAGGGGAAAAAACTCTTGTGTCCTTCCCATGGGATAATTTTTTCAAGGTTTATCCATGTCATAGCATGTATCAGAACTTCATTCTGAGTGCTGTTCCATGGTATGTTTATACTTTGTGTTTTTTATCTGTTCACTCATAGACGAATATTTGGGTTGTTTCTACTGTCATGAGTAGTGCTGGTCTGAGCATTCACATACGGGTTTCCATATGGACATATGTTTTTTTTTTCTTATGTATATACTTAGGAGTGGACTCGCTGGATCAAACGATTATTCTATTTTAATTGTTTGAGGAATCACAAACAGTTTTCCATCACACCTGCGTCATTTTACATTCCCATCAGCAGTGCATAAGGTTTTCCAGTTTTTCCACATCTTCACCACCCCTCATTATTTTGTTTTTTTTAAATAATAGCCATTTTAATGGGCGTGACATGGTAATAAAAGTTTATCATTTTTTTTTTTTTATACACAATGGAACTTTATTTTCTCACAGTTTTGGGGGCTGGAAATCTGAGATCAGGGTGCCACCATGTTTGGGTGAGGGCCCTCTTACAATTTATAGACTTTTCCTTGTATCCCTACCTGGCAGAAGGGTCAAGCTAGCTCTCTGGGGCCTTTTTCAAGGGGACTAATCCCATTCATGAGGACTCTGCCAATCACCTCTCAAACTTCACTTCCTAATACCATCACGTTGGGTAGTAGGTTTTCAACATATGGATTTGCGGGGGAACCAAAATATGCAGGCCACAACAGATGGATAGATGAATGGATGGATGAATACTTGACTCTGAGAGCAAGAATGCAGATTGGCCCATGCATGACCATTGAAGTAGCTTGCCAGATACTTTCACAGAGTGTTTAGTAAATGTTTATGCAGTTGAAACAATAGTTTTAAAGACGTGTGCTCAGTAATGTCTGACTCTTTGCAGCCCTATGGACTGTAGCCTGCCAGGCTTCTCTGTCCATGACATTTTCCAGGCAAGAATACTGGAGTGGGTTGCCATTTCCTTCTCCAAAAGTTTATCATTTTAATGAAGTCTAATTTATCCTTTTCCTTTTCTTGCGTGTGCTTTTGCGGTCATGTTTAGGGAACCATTACCAAATCCAAGCTCATGCAGATTTTCCCCAGGGTTTCTTCTAAGAGGTTGATAGTTTCAGCTCTCAAGTTTGGGTCTTTCATCTGTTTTGATTTAATTTTTCTTTGATGTAAGATATGGGTCCAGCTTCATTGTTTTGCCTGAAGATACCCCGTTGTCCAATAGATGCATTTGCTTTTAACTCAGCAATTGCACTCCTGGGAATTTATCTTAAAGATAAGCTGGCAAAACTATGAAAAGAAAGAGCCCAGGGCTGTTCATTGCAACACTGTTCCTAATGTTAAAAGACTAGAAATAACCCAAATAGCCATGCGGGTACCAGCTGAATAAAGCATAGCCCATTCTTACAAGGATGTGCTGTGGCACTGAGATAGGCGTAGGGGCTCGCTAAGCTGTTATTTCTAAGCAGAGGAAGCAAGGTAAAGAACAGTGTGCCATAGGTCATCTCTGGGGAGGAGATGTCAGATACATTTTGAAATGTAAAGAAGGATAAACTATAATTTTTTTAAATGCCTGTGAGGGAGGGATAGAATAGGATGGAGAGAAAAGTGAGACTAGATTTGACTTTGGAAACTTGTAAACGTATTGCATGACTACAAACAAAAATTAACTTTTAAAAAGTTAATTTTATTTAAAAAAAAAAACACAGAAAAATCGAGAAAATGAAGAACCTGTGTATCACGTTGATGGTGTAGCCACAGGGGAAGCTGTTTTGAGTGACTTTAAAACACAATAGGCTCTCCCCTGGTTGCTCAGTGGTGAAGAGTCCGCCTGCAAATCCAGGAGACACGGGTTCGATCCCTGGTCCAGGAAGATCCCATCAGCCACAGAGTAACTAAGCCTATGCCCCACAAGTACTGAGCCCACGTGCCTTAACTGCTGAAGCCCAAGAGCTCTCAAGCCGGTGCTCTGCAACAGGAGAAAGGCCCACGCAGCAACGAAGACCCCGCACAGCCAAAAATAAGTAAATTACTAAAAGAGATCCCACATGCCATGTGGCACGGCCAAAAACAAAAGCCCAGTAATTCAGCGTCGCTAATGGGATAGACTTTGTATCTCCCACCACCATCTTGTGGAACAAACCACCTGCGTTGCTCATTGAGTCTCCAGGTTTTCTGGGTAGGTCTGCTGTTCTTGGCTGGATGGGCTCATGTCTGGTTAGCCATGGACCTGCTGGCCGCAGTGATGGATCCAGTGATGCATCCAGCTAGACTGGATGGCTGTCCGCTGGTCCAGGATGGTCTCAACTGCGATAAGGGGTGGCGGGCACCATGTGGTCATCCTCCACGGGCCAGCTCGGGCACACTCTCCGGTCATTGTGAACGCTCGGGAAGACCCCTTGGAGGAGGGCCTGGCAACCCGCTCCGGTATTCTTGCCTGGAGAATTCCATGGACAGAGGAGCCCTGGCGAGCTACAGTCCAGAGGGCCTCAGCTTAGCGGCTGAGCACACGTGCACCAGAGCCGGAATGATGGGAGGTATGTTTCGAATCATCCGGGGCCGGGGCAGGAGACGTAGGGAGCATGACTTGTTCAGTCACTCGGTTGTGTTCAGCTGTGCGACCCCATGGTCTGTAGCCCACTAGCCTCCTCTATCTGTGGAATGCTCCAGGCAAGAATACTGAAGTGGGTTTCCATTTCCTCCTCCAGGGGATCTTCCCCACCCAGAGATTAAATCCATTTCTCCTGCATTGGCAGGTGGATTCTTTACCACTGAGCCACCTGGGAAGCCCGAACTGGCCATGAGTTAAAAGCTGAGTGATGGGAACATAGAAATGTATTATACTATTCTCTCTGCTGTTATACACTTTAAATTTTTTCGTAGAGTTTTAATTTTTAAAGAGGGAGAAAAAAAAAAAGGTAGAGCAAATAAGCATCATGAATCTGTGTCCTCACCACCCAGCCTCAGCAGTTACAAATACTTGGCAAAATAAAAAGTTTCAAATAGTGTGATGATCTCTAACTGTTGAGAAGCTTTTCCTGATCTATGTAGTATAACTTAAGTTTTGAATAGTGAACAAAATGTGAAGGAAATACATTTAGGCCAAGGAAGCAGAGATGAAGGGTATAGGCTGCCCTCAGGAAGTAGATCTCCTCAAGTGTCCATTTTAGGATGTTCTTCAGCCTTTTGGTTTCAGCCTCACCTTCCACCTTTTGTTCCTTTCTACCCCGTTGTACCTGTTGCCACCACACCCACCGTGGGCTGCGGGCTGCTGTGTGAACCTGCTGTGCATTTGCATTTGTCTCCCAGCCTCTGCAGGGATCCCTCTGCATTTTCCCCTGGCCTGCCTGGCGAACTCGTCCTCATTCTGCAGAGCCCAACTCAATTATTCCTTCTCCTTTGTGTTTTTTCCTAACCCTCCCAGTTTGAGTAAGCCAGTCCCTTGATACATGCTTTCCTTGCCATATATCAGCCGGGGTTAGAATCAGTGTTCAGCTGGTCTGTCTCCCCAGCTAGAGTGTGAGTATCTCAAGGAGAGGGGATTTGCTTTATTGCGTCTGTATTTCCTGTGCTTGGTAGGTGGAAGGGTGTCAGTAACACCTGCTAAATTGTTGCTTGTTGTAAAACTCCCAGAAGAGGAAGGTCATGACTCCAGGAAAACTCTCATTCCTAAGGAGACAGAAGTCTGTGAACTCGCTTCCCTAGGATTTTAAAGCCAAACATGAACGACTCCGGGCGTTTAGAGCACCGGGCAGGGAGTCAGGAAACAGAGATGACTTCCCCACGGGCAGGGTCAGGGAGGTCGAGGACGAAAACCTATGCCGCGAGGTGACCTCGTCAGTACTTCAGGCAGAAAGACTCTTCCGGCCAGATGCCCAGCAGAATGAAGGGTGCACCTTTAGGGCCTCAGTGCTCTCATTGAGAAATCGAGGGCCTGGGGCTTCCCTGGTGCTCCAGTGGTTAAGAATCTGTCTTGCAATGCAGGGGACACGGGTTTGGTCCCTGGTCTGGGAAGTGAAAATAAATAAGTCGAGGGCCTGAGCATCCAGAGGTGATAGTCTCCCCTTCTGTGCCGCGGCCGCTTAGCTGGAGTGTTGAGAAGGGTTCCGAGGTCATGTCTGAGCCCTGACGGGTCAGCAGCACCTGCAGGGGCTGTGGGTGGCAGAGAGCGGTGGTTTATACAGCACGTGTTCGCTGTGGCTGCTCGGACAGGATTAATCAACCTCCTGGGTGTGAGATTTTTGCAGACCTCAGAATTCTCTCTGTCTTTTCTACGCTGTCAGTCTGTAAACTAACAGAAACTTCCTTGTTGTTGCAGATATGAAGCTAGACCTACCAGTAATCACATCAAAGAAGTAAGTCTTGGCGGACGTTGGCCGTGGGCAGAATGACGTGGGTCAGGCGCTGGGCAGGCGTGGGAGGTGTGAGCGGAGAGCCCTGGGTCCTCTCCTCGGGGCCGTGTAGACTCTCCTGGGAGAGCAGGGGTAGAGGAGGCAGTTGGCCCTTCTGTGATGGGTGTAGTGGCGGGCTGTCGCCCTCGCTGCCAGCATCGTTACCGTTGTCATAGCGGTGCCAGTCCTGGTCCAGGCCGCCTACCCGCGTCACCCCAGTTCATCTTCTCGGGAAACCTTTGAGGTGGGTGTAGTTGTTTGCGTCCCCCGCGTGGGGAGCCTCCCGAGAGCTGCCCAAGAGGACTTGAGCTTGAACCAGGCGGAGCAGCTCCGGAGCCTGGGGGTGGGAGGTGACTGTGAACTTGTACGTGCCAGCGTTTCTGGGGGTCTCCCATGCGACAAGCACTGCGCTCATGGCAGCTTTGTGGGCTAGCTGCTTTCGTTCGCTCACTGCCCGCCGGAGGTCAGTCCTGTTGTTGTCTGTCTTGGAAGGTGAGGACACAGAACAGGAAGAGGTTAGGTAACTTGCTGAGGGTCAGCACTTAGACCTAAGCAGACTGACTGAAAACCATTTTGCTGAGAATTTCCAGTAAGTCAGCCTTAATCAGTAAGAGGTGGGGCATGGTGTTCTCTGTGGATGGAAGACGTGTGTCCGAGGGCAGGGGTGCCTGCGAAGCTGAGGTGTGTTCAGGTGGCCCCGCTCAGGGGTTGGGGGGCCCCGGGATGGGTCTGAGGGGTCACCAGCCTCAGTCTGGCTTCTGATCGGAGCTGCCGCTCTGCCCTTAGGCTTCCCAGCTCTTCCTCTTCTCTTCCTGCTGCTTCTCCAGCAGTGTTTGGAGCTGATCACAGCAGGACTTTCTAAAGGCATCACCCACCAGCAGGAGGACACCCTTTCTCCTGTGTCCCTCTGCCATGGGTCGATCACCGGTCTCCCTCGGAGGCTTTCCTGCACGCGCTTCAGCAGCCGCTGTCCTCCAGCCAGTGTGAGGTCGTTAGAGGCAGGGACTCGGGTGTGATGCGGGCAGCGGCAGGACAGCAGAGAAAGGGGTTGGACGCCGAGTGGTTTCGCTCAGAGTCACAGGGAGGAGCCCAGTCCCGCTCCCAGGGAGCGGCCCGCCGAGGCTGCGTCTCCATCTGTTAAAGCATCGTTTGTGTTGTGAAACGTACTGTGTCTGGAGTCAAGATGATTTTACTTTTCAGGTCTGCCCCCGAGACCCCACGGTCCCAAGCTAATAAATACTCATCCAACACTGCCTGTGCGCCGAGCCCTTCACGTGTCTGGTCCCCTTTAGTCCGTGCTCACAGCTGCCCGGGGCGGGCACCGGTGTCCCTGAGCCTGGGAGGGGCGGCCACGCAGCTGGTGCAAGAACCTCGCGCTCACAGTGAGGGCTTGGCCCGCGTCTGCCTCGACCACTCTGCTCCGATGGCAGAGCAGGGGTCTGTGCGCGCGCTGTCTCTTTTGCTCTCTTGCTCTTTGTCTCTCTCAGCTCCACCATCTGCCCAAAGGGGGAACTGTTGAACCTTTAATTCAGTGGTTCTTTCGAATGTTTTACTCAGGGAATCTGTTGAAAAGTTGTGGATCCCTTCCGCAGGAAAATATACATGACACAAATACACATTTTTGTTCAGACACAGATTCATAGACCCACAAAGGCTTTAGGCAGCGTTACACGTGGTGTGAAGAGCACAGATGCATTTAGATCGCTCGTGTGAAAAGGCTTCCGACTGCCCACGAGAGTGGCTGTGCCTTTCATGCAGGAGAAGAGACACCCTGCTGTTCTCTGGGCAGCGACGTTTTACCCCGATTAAACAGCAGCAAGTGATGTGACCCTTACGAGGTCACGGTACTGTTGCCTCTATTTTAGGGGGAATGTGAGGCACGGAGCAGTTACGTCATTGGCTTTGCCACCCAGCAGTGACGGACCAAGGCAGGGCTGAACACGAGACGCCAGGACTCTGGTCCTGCGCGTGTGATCACCCCCGCAGCCGTCTCATGGATGGAGAGCGGCCTCGCTGGATCGTAGTCTTCACATCTGTGGTTCCGTTCCCAGTATACACAGGACAGCCCGCTCATCCCCGTGCAGGATAAACAGGGCGTGGACAGCTTGGAGATGCCTCTGATGAGTCAGGGTGGGGCGGCCACCGCTCTCTTTACAAAAACAGCAGAAGCCAGCTTGCTCCCGAGCTTCACCATGTGTCACTAGCAGTTTACAAACCACGGCGTGTCCATCATCTGCACCCAGGCAGGATGCCCGAGGTGAAGAGAAAAGTGACCGCTGTCTCCTCACGAGCCATGTGGCTTCTCCAAACGCTTTCCAGACCGATCGCTGTGGGTGGAGGTGAACGGAGCTTGAGTCTCGCGATCTTTCACCCATGCTCATGTGATTCCACATGTGTGCATCTTGGACCACGTGACGCACCCCAGCACCCTTGCTTCACTAGTCAGAACCTGTGGCCGTTTGTAACTTGGGACGTGTTCAGGGCTTGCCTTCAAGTTTAAGAAATGTAGAGTGTTTTATCTCATTAAAATACATTTTGAAAATGTCTGGGATACATGTCTGAAAACTTCATGGTATCCAAAATGGAAAGTAATACAGAACGAACCCTGGCAGAGGATGACCATTTTTCTCTTTATATTTACCTAGATCATTTTGTCCACCAGTTTTTTTATATTTATTTCTATTTATTTATTTGGCTGTGCTGGGTCTCAGGTGTGGCACACTGGGTCTCCGATCTTCGTTGGTGCCTACAGGATCTTTGCAGCAGGTGGGATCTGGTTCCCTGAGCAGGGATTGAACCGAGGTCCCCTCTACTGGGAACCTGGAGCTTGGCCACTGGACCACCAGGGAAGTCCTTGATCCACCAGGTTTAAATCACATACATTTTCACACTTTGTTAAGCTGGGGTCATTTTTTGGTTCAAATTAAGCAAATTAAATGAAACTCTGTAATAAAAATAAATAACACAACAATAGTTATCACAGAGCAGTTAGAACATGCAGAGAAGTGTAAAGAAATGATTTACCTATAGTCCATCATTAAGAAGAACTATAGACTTGGCGTACTGCCTTCCCATCGTTTTCACACGTTCTGCTGTCTTTTCTTTTTTTCTTCCTTCCTTTTTTCCTTTTTTTTAACTGTCTGCTGTCTCTTTAATACCAACATTGAAGTGTCGTTGCTAACAGACTTCCCCCTTTGCAGGTATCAGCGCAGCGTGGAGTGGGCCGCAGAGCTCCTGCGAAGACAGGGCCAGGACGAGAGCACAGTGCGCAGCATCCTCGAGGGTTACACGAAGCCCCTTGAACATCCTCGTCTGAAAAGGACGGAAGACGTCCCATTGGGCGATGAACCCAACTGCGATCTGGTTTCCACATCGGAAGGCAGAGCAGACAGACAGAAACTCTCTGCCGTGAATGGGGTCGAGGGCAAGTCGTGTGATATGGAGGATTCCAGCGAGCGATCAGACGGCATGCAGGAGGGCCCCGGGCCTGAGCCCCGAGCCCCAGACGGCGGCTTGGGTGAACACGTGGCCGAGGTCCCCGCGCCTCTGCCCCGCGGCCACTGCGGCAGACAGGACGCTCTCCTGCCGCCATCTGGCGGTCAGCCTGGGGACAGCAACCGGCGAGCCAGTCTGGCCCCGGCGGGAGAGAGGGGGCCTGAGCACGTGCTGGTGGAGGAAGCCGTGTGTGCCGGGAGCGAAAGCGAAGAGGCCCCAGCGGGGGGCGTAAGTAGAAGAGAAGAGATCACTTCCTGCAGAGCCGGCTGTTCCTGGCCCAGAGATGCTGGCCAGTGGGGACGGCCCTCACTGGGACCTGGCAGTGAGCTGGTGGTCAGCGCCCGGGGCCCGGGAGAGCCTCCGGAGGCCCCAGCGGCCCTGCGGGCGCAGCAGTCAGGAGGGCTGTTTCAACTAAAACCTCAGAGTCTGTGAATAACCTGGCTTCGTGCATATGAAATAACGCAAGTCAGGCAACATCCTCTCTGCTGGGGAGAGGAACGAGGTGATCAGCAGGTCTTGAGGGTAGCCGTGGGCGTGGGCTCAGGTGTGCGGAGGTAGGGCGCAGAGCTGGAGCCGCTTCCTTAAGGGACGCACTCCGCAGTTGCCCCCAGAATTATCTGTGGAAGCTGGAAGTGAGAAGCAGTCTCATAATTAATTAGATAGTACGTGGAACACCCCCGTGAAGAAATGGTATCTTTCCTTTAGAGTGGAGTCTCATTAAGAGCCTAGGCATGTGCTTGTGAGGTGTGCAGTCGGGTGGGAAAAAAAGCAACACATGAAATTGACCCACGAAACGATCCTCCAGGGAGGATAAAAAGAAAGAAGTCAAGATGTCAGTACTGACCTTGGAACAACATGGGTGGGAACATGGGTCTGCTTAGAAGAGTGTTTCTTTCAGTAGTAAGTGCTGCGCTCCATGACCTGAGGTTGGCTGAGTCCACAGATAGGCAGGAAGTGAGGGCCAACCATGAGTTACATGCAGATTTTCGGCTGCCTGGAAGGTCGGCGCCCCAGCACCCTTGTTGTTCAAGGGTCAGCTATAAAAGGAAAACAAAAACTTGTTTTTCTACATAAATAATAGAAAATTTCATTTTTTAACAGAGTCCAGCAGATGTGGATCTGGGAAACTTGGAAGTATGTTCGTTTTAAAATGCAGCCCCTTCCGTATAACGTGTAGGACTGACGTTTGTCGTATGTGTATCTTACTTTCCTCTTCAGGTGTTGCCGCAGAAGACACTGGTATGTAGGAGAAACCCGTTTAGGATCTTCGAGTATCTGCAGCTCAGCCTAGAAGAGGTAAGGTTTCCAGCATGTTTCTCAGCTGTGGGCCTCGGGCCGGGCAACACGGTGTAGACAAGTCCACCTCAGTGCAGTTCCGCCTGCACTTCGGTACCAAGACCCCCCACAGGCAGCCCCCACAGCCGGCCTGTCTGCATTTCACTCCTCAGCCTTCACTTTATCCACTCTAGGAGGTCCGTTTGTGGGTCCTGCCCAGTATCATCCCACAGAGGTTTCAGCAGGTCGTCTGACTCTTCTTTTTACATCAGGGTTTCAGATTGTCCAAGTACCGTTTTACTCTTTTTTTTAAAACCGGCTTCTGTAGAAAAATGGTGCCCTAGATGGTAAAGAATCGGCCTGCAGTGTGGGAGAACTGGGTTCAATCCCTGGGTTGGGAAGATCCCCTGGAAGAGGGCATGGCAAGCCACTCCAGTATTCTAGCCTGGAGAATCCCCATGGACAGAGGAGCCTGGGGCCGCGAAGAGTCGGACAGGACTGAACAACTAAGCATGGAAAAATTCTAAGTTTATTGAGACACAGCGCATACGCACTGTTCTCGCGTTGAATGTGTGCAGTGGTTTTATATATGTGTGTGCGCGCTGTGAATTGGCGGTCACGTCCTACTCTTTGCAACCCCATGAACTGTAGCTCGCCCGGCACCTCTGTCCGTGGGATTCTCCAGGCAAGGGCACTGGAGTGGGTTGCCATGCCCTCCTCCAGGGGATCTTCCGGACCCAGGGGTCAAACGCAGGTCTTCCGCGTTGCAGGCGACCTGTGGGCTCTGTGGAGTCTGAGCCACCAGGGAAGGCCATGTATATGCGCGCGCGCACGCGCACGCCTGCACGATTGTTTATTTGGCGCTGCTGGCTCTTCGCGGCTGCACGGGCTTTTCTCTAGCTGAGCTGAGCAGGGACCCCCTCTAGTGTGGTGCGCAGGCTTCCCTCTGCAGCAGCTGCTGTTGTCGCGGAGAGCGGGCTCTCGAGCATTCAGGCTCCTGGGCTCAGTAGCTGGGGCACACAGGCTTAGTTGCTCCGAGGCGTGTGGGATCTTCCTGGACCGGGGATTGAACCCATGTCTCCTGCATTGGCAGGCAGATGCTTTACCACTGAGCCACCAGGGACGCCCCTGGGCATTGGTTTTTAACACATTCCTGGAGCTTCACCAGCTTTTTGTAAACTGGGATGCGTGCTCCGGGTCATGTCGTGACAGCTGATTGTGTGGATAGATTCTAGGTGTTTCCTTCTGCAGAATTACTAACGTGTCCCCTTTATGGAAGCCTCAAAAGTGGGTGCAGCTGGGTTTCTAAGCCTGCCTCCTGTTTTCTCTCTGGGGTTCCTCTGTCCTGTGCTCACGCAGCCTTGAGCGCCTCCTTCTTTGCTTCTGTCTGCGCTGCACCCGGGTTTGAGGGCAGCGCCCCCCCTCCGTCTCGTGTCTGTGGCTCTGCCCGTCTGGACGCCCCCCGCGGCGTCTGGCTCAGGTCTGGGCGTCTCTGTGGGTCTCAGCTGCACTCACTGAGCTCATGCACGCCCGTCATTCCCCAGATGTGCTCACAGAGATGCGACGCGTCTCCCGCTGGCCCGTGCCTCCCTCCGCAGTGAGGCCAGCGGGGCACAGAGGGGCTCGCAGGCAGGAAAGGACGTCGGGATTTATTCACTTCATCCACTCCTTCTACACACGAGACAGCCGAGCCCGCTGGCAAATCCAGCGGTCACTAGCTGCGTGTGACCAGATAAACTCATTAAAATGGAGCAAAATTAAAACCCCTGTCCTCGGTTGTGCCCGCCGCGTTTCAGACGCTCAGCAGGCATGCGTGGCGACTCTGTTGGGTCGTGCTGGGAACACCAGTCTCTAGTTGCTTGACCTCTCTGAGCCTCGGGTGTCTGCACTGTGATGTGAGGGTCGTGTAACACCTCGTCCGTTAGGTGATCTGGAATCAGTAGTGCATGTGATGGCCTCAGCGAAGCGTGCATTGAGTCGCAGGTGCTCGGGGAGTATGGTGCCCACTGTTGCTGTCATCGCCATCGTTATGGGCACTTGTGCAAGCTCATTAGTGGCTGGTTGCAATTCTTTCCTTTGCAATTAATGTTGAGCAAAATTATTCACTGGGTGCTTTCTGTGTCCAGGCCCTGGGCTGAGTATTAACAGTCCAGAGGTAAGCAGAACGTGGCTCAGGTCCTCAGACAGACGGGACTGTGGTCTGGCGTGACGGGCGCAGCGTGGGCAGTGGACTGCAGCTGTGCCCTGCCCTCGTCCCGGTGCCTGACGTCTGTGAGGTGCTCGGTAATGATTTATCAGGGGACGTGCATGGGGTCTGGGCTCGGCCCAGAAACTGGTGGGGCCTGAAGGGACAGACGCGTGTCAGGAACCCGAGGCTCTGCTCCAGCCCACTGACCTGCTGATGCTTCTCACTGACTGTCTTGCTCCCGCTTCCCAAACACCTGCTGAAGAAATGCTGGAGTGACAGGAGACGAGGGGGTTCTCATTCCTGCAAGCTGCTTGGTCCCTCAGAAATTCCAGAGACATGTTGGGGTTCTCATTCCTGCAAGCTGCTTGGTCCCTCAGAAATTCCAGAGACATGTTGGGGTTCTCATTCCTGCAAGCTGCTTGGTCCCTGAGAAATTCCAGAGTCTTGTTGGCAGAAGTCTGCAGGCTGCTACCTGTTAAACCCAGCCCCGCTTCCCAGCTCCGTTTTGGCCGATTTCCTTGGATGCATCATCCCTGTTTATCAGCACCACCCGTGCCGTTTTCCATGTTTCCATAAATGTCCACGAGGAACATGGGCAGCCCTGCTGTGGTGATTCAAAGTGGCCCTTAGGGTGTGAGAATGGTATCACTGAGCTGGCGTAGACATCTGTCTTGGAGAGCTGTTTTTTATCTTAACACTTTAGGCCCTGACCAGACCTAGTGATACGGCGTTAAAACCATCATTAGGCTCATCCATCCATCATGGTGGTTGGTTTAGTCGCTAAGTCGTGTCCGACTCTTGCAACCCGGTGGGCTGTAACCCATCAGGCTCCTCTCTCCCTGGAATTCTCCAGGCAAGATTACTGGAGTGGGTTGCTATTTCCTCCTCCAGGAGATCTTCCTGACCCAGGGATTGAACCCGGGTCTCCTGCAGTGCAGGTGGATTCTTTACTGACTGAGCTACCAGGGAAACCCATTCTCCATCGTTATTAGTACTCCCAAAGTAAAGACTTACTGTGACATTTCAAGGAACGAAGTCAACATTCCCCGCAGACCTCCCTGGACTTGTTGTTCTTTACCCGCCTAGTTGTGTCCAGTTCTTTTGCGACCCGTGGACTGTAACCTGCCAGGCTTCCCTGTCCTTTACTATCAACTGGAGTTTGCTCAAATTTATATCCATTGAGCCTGTTATGCTATCTTACCCATCTCATCCTCTGTTGCCCCCTTCTCTTCCTACCTTCAATCTTTTCCAGCATCAGGGTCTTTTCCAATGAGTCGGCTCTTCATTGGTGGCCAAAGTGTTGGAGCTTCAGCATCAGTCCTTTCAAACACTATTCAGGATTGATTTCCTTTAGGATTGATTGGTTTGATCTCCTTGCAGTCCAAGGGACTCTTAAGGGTCTTCTCTAGCACTACAATTGGAAAGCATCAATTCTTTGGCGCTCAACCTTTATGGTCCAACATGACTACTGGAAAGACCATTGCTTTGACTATACAGACCTTTGTTGGCAAAGTGATGTCTTTGCTCTTTAATACGCCGTCTGGATTTGTCATAGCTTTCCTTCCAAAGAGCAAGCGTCTTTGATTTCATGGCTGCAGTCGCCATTCACTGTGATTTTGGAGCTCAAGAAAATGAAATCTGTCACTCTTTCCACTTTTCCCCCTCTGTTTGTATGAAGTGATGGGACCAGAAAGCATGATCTGATTAGTTTCTTGAATGTTGTTTTAAGCCAGCTTTTTCACTCTCCTCTTTCACTCTCATCAAGAGGCTCTTTAGTTCCTCTTCACTTTCTGCCATTTGAGTGGTATCATCTGCATATCTGAGGTTATTGATATTTCTCCCAGCAATCTTGATTCCAGCTTGTGATTCACACAGTCCACCATTTCCCATGATGTACTCTGCATGTGTTAAATTAGCAGGGTGACAATAGACAGCCTTGCCATACTTCTTTCCCAGTTTGGAATCAGTCCATTGTTCCATGTTTGTTTCTAATCGTTGCTTCTTGACCTGCCTACAGGTTTCTTGGGAGGCAGATAAGGTGGTCTGGTATTACCATCTCTTTAACAATTTTCCACAGTTTGTTGTGATCCACACAGTCAAAGGCTTTCACACAGTCCATGAAGCAGATGTTTTCTTAGAGTTCCCTTCCTTTCTCTGTGATTCAGTGGATGTTGGCAATTTGATCCCTGGTTCTGCCTTTTCTAAACCCAGCTTGTACATTTGGAAGTTCTGGGTTCACATACTGCTGAAGCCTGGCTTGAAGGATTTTGAGCAAAACCTTCTTAGCACATGAAAGGAGCACAATTATCCAATAGTTTGAACGTCCTTTGACAATGCCCTCCTTTGAGATTGGAATGAAAACTGACTTTTTTCCATTCCTATGGCCACTGCTGAGTTTTCCAACTTTGCTGGCATATGGAGTGCAGCACTTTCACAGCATCACCTTTTACGATTTGAAATAGCTCAGCTGGAATTCCATCACCTCCAATAGTTTGTTTGTAGTTATGCTTCCTAAAGCCCACTTGGCTTCACACTCCAGGATGTCTGGCTCTAGGTGAGTGACCACACCATTGTGGCTATCCAGGTTATTAAGACCTTTTTTATATAGTCTTCTGTGTATTCTTGCCATCACTTCTTAATCTCTTCAGTCTCTGTTAAATCCTTATCATTTCTCTCCTTTTTCCTGCCCATCTTTGCATGAAATGTTCCCTTGGTATCTCCAATTTTCTTGACGAGATCTCTAGGCTTTCCGATTCTGTTGTTTTCCTCTACTTCTTTGCATTGTTCATTAAAGAGGGCCTTTTAGCTCTCCTTGCTATTTTTTGGAACTCTACATTCACTTGGGAATATGTTTCCCTTTCTCCTTTGCTTTTTGCTTCACCTCTTTCTCAGCTATTTGTACAGCCTCCTCAGACAACCCCTTCACCTTCTTGCATTTCTTTTTCTTTGGGATGGTTTTGGTCACTGCCTCCTGTACAACGTTGTGAACCTCTGTCCATAATTCTTCAGGCACTCTGTCTATAAGATCTAATCCCTTGAATCTATTCACTGCCTCCACTATATAATCATAAGGAATTTGATTTAGGTCATACCTAAATGGTCTAATGGTTTTCCCTACTTTCTTCAATTTAAGCCTGAATTTTGGGATAAGGAGCTGATGATCTGAGCCACAGTCAGCTTCCAGTCTTGTTTTCACTGACTGTATAGAGCTTCTCCATCTTTGGCTGCGAAGAATATAATCAGTTTGATTTCGGTGTTGACCATCTAGTGATGTCCACATGTAGAGTCTTCTCTTGTGCTGTTGGAAGAGGGTGTTTGCTATGACCAGTGTGTTCTCTTGGCAGAGCTCTTTTAACCTTTGCTCTGCTTCCTATCCAAGGCCAAACTTGCCTATTATTCCAGGTATCTCTTGACTTCCTGCTTTTGCATTCCAATTCCCCATGAAGAAAAGGACATCTTTTTTTGGTGTAAGTTCTAGAGAGTCTTTTAGGTCTTCATAGAACCACTCAACTGCAGCTTCTTCAGTATTAGTGGTTGGGGCATAGACTTGGGTATATACTGTAATGATGTATGGTTTGCCTTGGAAATGAACCACAATCATTCTGTCGTTTTTGAGATTGCACCCAAGTACTGCATTTCAGACTCTCTGGTTGAGTAAGAGCTCCTCCATTTCTTCTAGGGGATTCTTGCCCACAGTAGTACATAGTATAGTCATCTGAATTAAATTTGCCCTTTCCCGTCCGTTTTAGTTCACTGATTCCTAAGATGTTGATGTTCACTCTTACCATCTCCTGCTTGACCAGGTCTAGTTTACCTTGATTCACAGGCCTAACATTCCAGGTTCCTGTGAAGATTGTTCTTTACAGCATGGGAGTTGACTTTGACCACCAAACACGTCCACAGCTAAGCAACGTTTCCACTTTGGCTCAGCCTCTTCGTTCCTTCTGGAGCTATTAGTGATTGCCCTCCGCTCTTCGCCAGTAGCATATTGGATGCCTTCTGACCTGGGGGGCTCATCTTTCAGTGTTGTATCTTTCTGCTTTTTCATACTGATGATGTTCATGGGGTTCTCGCCGCAAGAATACTAGAGTGGTTTGCCATTCCCTTCTGCAGTGGACTGCATTTTGTCAGAACTCTCCACTATGACCCTTCCGTCCTGGGGGACCCTGCTCAGCGTGGCTTGTGACTTGATCAAGGTATGCAAGCCCCTTCAACACTGATGACTTAGTTCTAAAGAGTGCCAACCACACTGGAACAAGATCCTCCCCATCTGTTAAAAGTTGATCAGAATGGGGATTGTTTAAACAGGTTCCCTGAGGAACACCTATCTGAGGAGTGACCTTTGACTCCTTGACCTTTGAGCAGCAGTTACAAAGGCCAAGGCGGGACCCAGCTCCGTGCGTTAGAAGAGGCGTGAAGCACCTGCTGGGAAGAGTCACAGGGCTGGAGGCAGTGAAGGCAGGTGGGCAGCCAGGCTCCTGGGAGCCGGGGGTCTTCCCATGCTGGGAACGTGGCTTGGGCTGCCCCGGAGCAGAGGCTGTGGGGCCAGGATGCGGGGGCCTTTGCAGAAGCACAGGCAGGAGGGGAGCACTGGTCTTCAGACGAGATGGGGCGCGTTCAGGGTGGTACGGCCGTAGACCCGCTGGTCTTCAGAGCAGCTCTCAGTTTGGGTCTGGGTGGAACTGAAGTAGTTATCAAACCACTTTTCTCTTAAAAACAGTTGAGGGACCCCGAGGAGCATCTTACGTGGATTATATATCTGTTGATGTTTATCAAATTATATATTTAAATGAAAATTTAATTATGTGTTAACTTATTTTACATGATAATAAACCCACTGAAATAATATTTTTTGAAAAATAACTATATTCATTCAAAGCAAAACAAACCGAGTGAGAAGAATAGCATGGTTTTTTTGTTTTTGCAAAGACTGTAAGGTCTGGTTGAAGAGAAGCGCCCTGGATTCTCACATCTGCTGCTGCATTCAGCCTCTTGTGGTATCACATATGTCAGAGCCTCTGGGGAGAATGAGCCTTAATCTCAGGAAATGGTTTTGACCTTGTGGCTCCCCTTCAAGGGTCTTGGGACCCTAGGATCTCCCGACAGGCCACACCTCGAGGACCACTGCTGGAAAGAGAAATGTCATCAGGTGGCCAGGAGAGGGTGGCAGTGGGGTGGATTGGGGCGATTTCTGAGGGTCGGGAAGGTGTTTCCTTAGCAGAGCCTTGTCTCTCCTTGAAAGCCCTGCACCTTCACAGCTGTGGTCTCGCGTTCTAAACATTGGGCAGGGAGGACAGCAGCCGGAGGGCTTGGGGGACCCTCCAGGGTACCTGTCGTTTGATCATCCGTCAGCACCAAGGACAGCAGCTTGAGGGGAGGTGGGGGGGGGGCTGCCTTTCTGCTGTCGCCTGCACCAGACGGCCCTCGACAGGGGACCTGTCCTTTGACCAGGAGCCTCGTCTTCCATCCTCAAGTTTAGAAAGAAAGTAGCATGTAGAGCCACTGTTTAGTCACCGTCTACTGCAGACCAGCCTCACCCGAGCCCTTCAGGTGTAAACTCAGATCCTAGCCCCCTTCTACAGACAGAGCAAATACAGGGCCTGCTGCCTCGTGTCAGTGCTACGCATCCTTTTGTTTTTGTCAGAAGGTTATTTTTATTTCCACATCAGAGTGATCTTACCCAACTGAGCCTGACTTTCCGTTTCCCCTTGTATCCCCCTGTGAGGGAGGCATGGTGCCATATGATGAAAGTAATGGAAAGATGCGGTTTACTTGTTAGGAAATCACTTTCCAGCAAGTGACCAAGAAACTCATTTGATTGAGTCAGCCCAAGTCTGCGTTGCTCATTTTCCACAAATTTATTCGTTTTTCCTTCTACAATTTTTTTTTTCCGGTTATTTTACAGAGGAAAATCCAGTGAGCCAAAGTTTCTACTGGTATTAATAGCTCTTTATGTCATTTTTCAGTTTAACTGTGTGGTTTTTTAAAAGAGAAAACATATGGAAAATTTCATAAAAGTGTTTTTGTTTGTTTGTTTGTTTCACTGATTCTAAACTATTCTGTGACATTCCTGTTTTACCCCTTGAAATTTGAATGAACCATTTATGTTTAAAAGTACGTGACCAGTTGGATGGTGCAAAAGACATTCATTGATATTTAAGGCAAAAAGAAATCAATCTGTGAAATAGTTTGTCGAGAACAAGGAACAGTTTCTGATGAGCATTTTCCTTGTCCTGTTTTTAGGCCTTCTTCCTGGTCTATGCTCTGGGATGTCTGAGTATTTACTATGAAAAGGTAAGGTGTTTTATTTACACAGTCCACTTAAAATTCCCTGATATCAAAAGCACATTGAAATACTTTTCATATTGCTTTACTCCAAGTGTATCTACTTTCACTGGATGAAATTGGAATTGAATTTTTTTTCTCTAAGTTTAATCTTTGGATCCTGAATTGAGACTGTTCAGGCAAAAAAGCCAACTTTGACCCTTTGAGACTAAATTTCATTCCCAGATCCTAGGAGAAGAGCAGTGTCTTTATCTGATGATCAGGAAATCTGTAAGAATAGTACTGAAAATTAACAGCAGAAATGAAAGCCACCTGTGTTTAGCACCCGATTCAGTGAAGGTTGGAGTCCGGTACCTTACATGCAGTACTTCTGGGCCTTACCTCCACGCGTGAAGAGTTTTACAGATGAGGTAACTGAGGCTCGGAAACAAGCCACTTGCGCAGGGTCACGCAGCTGGTCTGGTTGGAGTTAGCATTTGAACTGATGCCAGGGCGGCTCTGAAGCCCACAGTTTTGTGCTGTAGCCTGCTGCCCTTGGAAGACTGTTAATCCCGTTTCCGGTGAAGGAGCTGGGGGCAGTGGGAGTCGAGAGTTCACCGCACACGTCTGTACCTTCTGAATTTTGGACCTTGTGAATACAATACCTCTTCAAAAAAACTCAAGTTAAAATCAAGGTGAAAAAGGTAAGCAGAACATCAGACGGGAGAAGTGAGTGAAGTGAAGTTGCTCAGTCGTGTCCAACTCTTTGTGACCCCATGGACTGTAGCCTGCCAGGCTCCTCCATCCATGAGATTTTACAGGCAAGAATACTGGAGTGGGTTGCGGTTGCCTTCTCCAGGGGATCTTCCTGATCCAGGGATTGAACCCGGGTCTCCCGCATTGTAGGCAGACCCTCAACCATCTGAGCCACTGGGGAAGCCGGGAGAACATGTATTTTATTCTGTCCTTGGGAGCACATGTCTTATCACTCAGCAGATTCTAACTCCATAAATCTTTTTCGCAAGTACTCCCGTGGTTTGGGAACGGGTGTGTGGCTGGTGGGTGACTCACTTTCTCAGGTGGCAGCCCTTCTCGGCCTGCCCTGCATCCTCCCCTGGGCCCTCGCCAACACTCATCAGGACGTGCTGGCTGCCCTGTAGCATCCTCAGCCTCTGAAACGTGGCAGGCTGTCCAAATCGGAGTCCAGCCTTCTCTACCAGACTCTTGCTTGTTTTGTGGGGGGATGGATTTGAAGACCACACACATACAGAGTTTCCACCGTAGGAACAACTATTTTGGGTTTTTTATTTGTTTAAGAAGAAAGCAAGCCCCAACTCCAGCTCATATTTATGGTGTTAAGATCTTAGGTCGAGACAAACTGAGCAAGTCTTATTTAGTGACTGAACCGTAAACCAACCAAAGATCGGCTCCTTTTACTCAGGGCTGAAATGAAGCAGGAAACTTTCCAAACTTCCCTGGTACTGCCTGTGGTGTTTTTGAATTGACACATGAGAATGTTATCTGAGCCATGGTGTCTTCAAGTCCAACCTTAGAAACAAGCAGTTGGATTATTAATTTGTGCTATGGGATTACTTACTTAGTTTCAGAGACTAAATGGAGTATCTTTTCTTTTAAGGCTTTTACAGAATGAACTTTGCATTTCTGAACGGGGCCCACCATACCGTAGCTACCCATCAGGGTCTGTACATGCTGGAACATGCGCCCGCGGCCACCCCCATTGCTCTGCCTGGGCTGTTCTCCCCCACCGCCCTGTCCGCTGCCCTCCCTGCCCTCACGTGGCTGCTCCGTCTCCAGAGTGGCTGTCTCGGGGGCCTTGCCCAGATCCTCTGTGGCCGTGCCGTCCAGTAGAAATACGACGGGAGCCTCACACCAGAGCCGTGTGCATAATTTTTAATTTTCTAATAGCCACATTGAAAAGGTTTTTATTATTTTTAGTCAGCTGAAATTGACATAGTTTATTTAACCGAACATATTTAAAACTACTGAGGTAGTCTTAACCCAACATATTTAAAACTGCTTCTCTTTTGCATACGAAGTTTGCGTTCTCTTTTGCGTACGAAGTCTTTGAAACTCAGTGTGTGTTCTACGCTGGCAGCACGTCGCAGGCGAGTGGCTGGCGGCCGCCACACCGCACGTCTCGGGCCTGTATCTTCCGGCTAAAACCCTTCATCGTAGGCACCGTGCTCAGCTCACATTTGGTAGAGGTGTGTTGATTCACTGGCGAGGTGCCGGGTGGGTACACACATAGTAATGCCTGGTCTTCCCCCACCAACCATAGGAGCCTTTAACGATCATGAAGCTCTGGAACGCTTTCACCACCGTGCAGCCCACGTTCAGGACGACCTACATGGCATACCATCACTTCCGCAGCAAGGGCTGGGTGCCCAAGCCCGGACTTAAGTACGGAACAGATTTGCGTAAGTGATTTCTTGGCCTCACAGGCGCGCGAGCCAGGCTGAGGGTCGGGGTCGGATCCTGGGGTGAGCATCAGGTCGGTTGTGTGTGCTGTTGCTGTTTTTTCCTGAGATACTGTCCTCCTCCTAGCTTAGATAAGAATGTTTGGATGAGGGTGGAGGGTATGTTTTTTTCTCTTGTCTGCTCTGAGATTTTGAAAGAGAATCCACAGCCCCCCCACCCACCCCCACGTTGTGATCTTGTGATGAAGGGAGGGCCCATGTCTTCTGGGAGAGTTTCATTTGGTAAATTATGTGCAGTTACCACTAATGATCATGGTGTGCCTGTGATGATAGTGACAGCGATCATTTGTTGAGCCCTCACTGAGTGCCAAGCGTTCGACATTCATGACCTCATTTAATCGCAACAGCAGCTCTACGAGATTGATCGATCCTCATTTCTCTGATAAGGAGGCTGCAGTTGTGAAAGAAAGGGTCAAAGGGTCACCTGCCCCTAAAAGTTCCTGGGCGAGCGTCGGAGTGCTGCATTCAGCTGGAGCCCCGGCTTTTAGGAACTTGCACACGGCGCCGCCTCCCTGCTCTTTATTTAAAGGAAGGAGCTGGGACTCAGTGAGCACCCCACTCACCGGAATATTGCTGAGGGTCTCGTGTGAGCCAGATCTTCTTAGGTGCCAGGAACACAAAGGTGAACATGACAGGTGAAGCTGTCTGGGTGGAGCTCCTTACATGCTGAGAGGGGGACAAACAAGCAGACGTACAGATATGCGCTGTAATTTCAGGGTACTGAGAAGAATAAAGTGAATAAAGGGACAGAGAGTAAAAGGAAGGTAGATGGTTAGGAGAAGACTGAAAAGATGTGCCCCAAACAGCAGCAACTCAAGTGCGACCCCAGTGAGGGGACAGGTCCCCTGGGAGCATGGGGAGGAACCTCTGGGGGCCAGGGTAACCCTTTGCAGAGGAGCAAAGGCCCCGAGGCAGGAACGAGCCCGGCAGGTCTCAGGGCGTCCAGAGCTCCAGGGTCCCTCCCCAGGGAGAGTCAGGCTGGGGGAGATCACATCTCCCCCTGGCACAGACTTGGGATGTTACTCTGCTTATTGGAAGTCTGAGGGGATCTCGAGCAAAGGAGTGACTTATATTTAACCACTCGATTCAATAGGACCCTTGTCTGCTTTACCAATAGGTGGTGGGGGTGGGGTAGGACGAGGGGAGCAAAAAGTGGAAGCAGAGAGAGGAGTCAGGGAGGCTGGCCTGAGCAGCCTTGCAGATGGAGTGGATGTGGAGTCTGGGGGGGAGAGGAACTCAGGGTCACGCCTAGATTCTTGGAGCTGTGTCTTGGGCATAGTCAACTGGGGGCGAGGGGTGGGGGAAGATACTGCAAAGATGGATGATTCTGGAGCCCAGGAGAGCCTTGAGGTACACTCTTGCCGGGGAGTGGCTGCATCACTAGGCCTGGGCAAGTGGGCGAAGGCCCTTGGGATCCCCTACTGCAGGGGTCCCCAACCTCCAGTACCTAACACCTGATGATCTGAGGTGGAGCCAATGTAATGATAATAGAAAGATGTAACGCACGTGAGTCATTCCCAGACCCACCAGTCCTTGGAAAAACTGTCTTCCCTGAAACCAGCCCGCAGTGCCAAAACGTCTGGGGGCCACTGCACTCCAGCACCACTGCTGCTCCCCTGATAAGCCCCTGAAACCTTCCCGCATCTGCCCAGCGAGGGTGCTTCCTGGGAGCTCTTGAGAATTACATGTGAGGTTCAAACAAAAACGTCAAGGTGTTTGAGAGGACTCCTATGACGTCATGGCCCCCAAGGTCTTATGGGCTCTGTCACACACTCTCCCACGTATTTTTAAGCCTTTCCTTGTTAATGCACAAAGAAAGCCAGTTCAGTCCTTTAAATCCTTAAGTGCTCTAAAATCAGGTGTGCTTAACCTAGAATCATAAGATGATCTTCCAGGGGCACCAGCCACCCCCTCCCACCCCCAGAATTTTATTCAAAATTGCATGTTTGTGAATGGGTGCATGTTTCTGCATCAAGAATGGGTTGTAGTCGTTCGGTCTCTAAGTCTTGTCCGACTCTGCGATCCCACGGCCTGCAGCATGCCAGGTTCCTCTGTCCTTCACTGTCCTGGAATCTGCTCAGATTCATGTCCCTTGAGTCACTGATGATGTCTCACCATCCCAACCTCTGCCACCCCCTTCTGCTTTCATTAAATTCTCAAAGTGGGTCAGCAATATATATAAAGCTTAAGGAGGGCCCACTCCCCTAAGATAAAGGCTCTTCTTGTTTCTTCTGGGCCTGGGTTTCAGGTACAGGTGTCCTAACTCTGGGTCACCACATGAATGATCAACATGACCTCGAGCCTAGCTTACTGAGTCTCCAGGTAACAGAGTCACCCACAGGTCCTGGCACTTAAATGAGGTGAGCCTGAGGTCTGGTTGGCACTGGCTCCCACCTGCCCACCTCCTCCCTGGGGAAGAGCAGCCGCTCAGGCCGCACGCTCGGCAGGCCTTGGGCAGTGTGCTCCATGAATGGGTGGAACTTGAGCAGGATTTTCCAGCCGACAAGGCCACAGTGTTGTGCTCAGAGGTGGCGGGGGTGATGGAGAGAGCCCTTTGGGGCTTGCCTGTGTGACCTCAGGAAGGTTACTGTGCCTCTCTGAGCTTCCGGTCACTCATCATGTAACATGGGTAACAGCATGTTTATAAAGCAACATCTTTTTTATAAAAAGTAAAAACAAAGTTCAGGGGGGCGGGACCTCTGTCCAGTGCGGTGTAAGCATACCTTACCGCATGTGTTTTCAGTACTCAAGTCGTCTCTGTGGAGGGTGAGTAGAGAGAACTTGCCTCGTTTAAAAATAAACGGCCTTATAAAGATGGATGAAAGGGTGGACAGACGGACAGACTTTTTAAAAAGGAAGGAAATCCATCTGCTGCTGTTTCCCAGCCCCCCAGGCCTTTGCCCTGCTGACGGGGGGCATTTTATGCATTTGGAGGCGCTCGTGTGGTTACCGTGAGCCCAGGTCCCTGGCCCAGCAGTGCCGTGAAGGGCGTCTTGAGGCCAGCGTTCAGGAGCTGTGTGGCCTGCGGTGAGGGGCACAGCCCCCCCCGACCTTGGCCCCCGCCCCAGGCGCAGGGTCTGCCCGTGTCTAACACTGCCGTTTTCATTTGGAAGGCCGGCAGTGCAACCATATGGATGCTAGAGCTGCCAGCACAGGTCACACCCAGGACACGCTCCCTTCACAGTTGTTCCTGCTCACAGAGGCGGTGGCTCACGACATAGGGCCGCCCTGAAACTCACGTCTTATCAGGGAGACTCTTCCCTGGACTAAGTCCTGTCAGTCCAGTCTCACTCCAGCAGCAGCATGTGGAACAGGCGACGCGATCTCAGGTCAGGCGCAGCTGCCCGGCCACTTGACTGTGAATGCCCACTGCCGACAGCCAGGCCAGGAACCACTTGGGAGCCCTTCCTTACACACATCCCCATCCCCGCACCCCACCCCCCAAAGCCCCCTTGGCTGCCGGCTCCTGTGGCCACCATCAGCTTGCCTGTTGCTTTTCTTCTCCCATCTTATTTCATCTTCATGTTCCATGAGGCTTGTGGCGCTCACCTCCTTCTACAGCCGAGCAAACAGGTTTCAGAGGGTCAGGACCAAACAGGACCAAGGGTCCCACAGCTGATTGTTGTCATTCAGTCACTTAGCCGTGTCCAGCTCTTTGCAACCCCGTGGACTGCAGTGCGCCAGGCTTCCCTGTCCTTCGCTGTCTCCCAGAGTTTGCTCACATTCATGCCCATTGAGTCAGTGATGCTATCCGACTGTCTCGTCCTCTGTTGCCCCCTTCTCTTCCTGCCTTCAGTCTTTCCCAGCATCAGGGTCTTTTCTAATGAGTTGGCTCTTCACATCAGGTGGCCAAAGTATTGGAGTTTTAGCATCAGTCTTTTCAATGAATATTCAGGGTTGATTTCTTTTAGGATTGACTGGTTTGATCTCCTTGCAGTCCAAAGGACCAGAGTCTTCTCCGGAACCATAGTTCAAAAGCATCAATTCTTTGATGCTCGGCCTTCTTTAAGGTCTGACTCTTACATCCGTACATGCCTACTGCAAAAACCATAGCTTTGACTAGATGGACCTTTGTCAGCAAAGTGATGTCTCTGCTTTTTAGTATGCTGTCTAGCTTTTTTCCAAGGAGCAAGCATCTTTTAATTTCATGGCTGTAGTCACTGTCTACAGTGATTTTTGGAACCCAGGAAAGTAAAATCTATCAGTGTTTCCACTTTTTCCTTTTCTCTTTGCCATGAAGTTATGGGACCAGATGCCTTGATCTTAGTTTTTTTAATGTTGAGTTTTAACCACAGTTGGTAAGTACAGAGTTTAGAGCTCTTTAGGTCTCAGCTCCATGTAGTTCCCACCATAGCTAAGTAATGTTGCCAGCCAGAAAGCCAAAAACCAAGTCCAGGATTTATATTTTTGTCCTAGGCATGCAGTTGCTGGTGGCCTCAACCCAGAGTTCTAGTTACTCCTGAGCCTTCTTCCCACCCATTTCAGTTTTGGATTCACATTGACTGTTTGGTCGCGTGATTTCACAGCTCCCTGCAAATTAGAACTTTCAAATCGGACAGAAAAATGGGAGCCATCAGAAGCCAGCAGAGACAGGATGTCCAGAGCCCAGAGACCCATCACCTGTCGTGGAGAGCTGGTGGCTGGCTCTGCCCCGGGGAGAGGCATCAGGGCCCCCGTGCCCTTCGCCCAGCAGGGAGAAGCGCCTTCATCCCATCTCATCTCCAGTCCTTTCCTAAACAGCCCTCTTGGCTTGTTTTTCCTGCTGACTGTATGTTTTTGTTAACATCGTCCACATTTGAACATCTAACCCCTGTTAACTCATAAGTGGTTTTGGACACAGCTCCTGAGAAGACTCTCCTAGGTAATTATAACACCATGTAATACCTAAGAGAAATTGGAGTTATTCATCAACATCATCTAACCATTCAGTCCGTCTTTTCAGTTTCCCGCTTGTCCCTAATGTGTCTTTTGTAGCTGTTTTGGATCTGGTTTTTTGGTTGTTTTTTTTTTGACAGCCTCCACTCAAGGTTCATTTATCACAAGGTTCATTTATCTGTCTTATAGTTTCTTAGGGAGGCCATGAGAAATGACCACAAACTCGGGCCCATAAAGCCGCAGAAGGTCAGAAGACCCGGAGCCTGAAACCGCGCTATGGGCGGGGCCACGCTCCCTCCGCCCCTCCCCTCGTCCAGGTTCTCGTGGCGCCAGGCGGTCCTCGGCCGAGGCTGTGTCACTTCAGTCTCTGCAAAGTTCCTTCTTCCCCACACGATCACGTTCACGGGATTGGGATGCAGACGTGTCTTTGGGGGCCGCTATTCAACCAGCACTGCACTCTTCATCTAAGAGCCCCTCCACCTGTTGGTTTTCTGTGACGTCGACTCTTGCGAAGTCCTGTAGATGTCCCACAGTCTGGGTAGGTGTGATCACTTCCTCGCGGTTAGGCTCAGGCTCACCAGTTTTCAGCCGGCGCGGGTGATGTGTGTCCTCAGGGGCCGCGTCCAGGAGTGGGTGATGTCAGCTTGTCCTGGTGCTGGTGAAGCCGCTCGTCTGCTAAGTTGGTTGTTGTCAGACGTCTGCATCTTCCTTTTTGTAGTTCACAAGTGTTTGAGAGTGAGACCGAGTATCTGGTACCCCGGTAGTCACCGTGGTCCCCTGAATTAATTGTTGCACTTGTCACCATTTCCACCAATTATTGCACTCCGCCATTCATTCCACACGTCACGTCCTCTCTTCTCTGTTCCTTCAGACTTTATTTTTAAATACCCAGTATCCCTTAGACTTCTGAAGTTTTCATCTCTACTCGGAGGCATTTCTGTAAAACTCTCCCTTTTTCGCTCTGGATGCACTGTTACCATGGTAATGACTGTTATCACAGGTAACGTCGAGCACCTCCACCTACATTATTTTCCCCGATCCCCATAAGGAGATTGGAACACGGGTGTCATCGTGTGGTCTCGGCACTGCTGAGCCTCGAACGGGGGTCTGACTGATTCTGTGTTCATGCTTCTAACCCTTGAGATGCCCCTCCATTGTAGTCAGGCATCTGAGGGGCCCGAAGCGGGGGTCAGAGTTTCTTTCGAGCTGTGTCATGTTCCACTTGAGTCTCATCCGTGAAGGGTGTGTGACTGATCAGAGATAACGGCATTTGAGAACTGGAGGAGATCTTAATTTCCCTTCATGTCTTCATTTTATGGCTCAGGGGACCGAGGCTCAGAGACATTAATGACATGTTTAGAGCCCCACAGCTGGGAGTGGCAGAGATTGGAATGAAGCAGAGCCCCGAATTCAGCCTCGTCCTAGTTGGGGGTCTCCTTCCGCTGCAGCATAGCCTAGAAGTTGAGAGATGGGTATTTAGATATTTACTTCAGTTTGGGCCCTTACCCAGTGAATTTGAGCTGACTTTCCAAATAATTTAAATACGATTTAAATAGGAATTTTATTCTTAAGAAGGAAGCCCAACCATGGGAAGTAGAAGTGAAGGGTTGCTGTATCATCGGTGGGGTCTTTCACCGGTTCTGACTTCTTGGTGCCAGAGCCAAAGGGAAACGTGATTAACTACAGGATCAGTGTGGCCCAGAAGGAAAAGTTCTACCAGTTCCTCAAGGAAGCAAAGCTTTTCTGCCTTGGTTTCCCCAAGAGCTCACATATATAACTGTGTTGTGAAAGTCACTCAGTTGTGTCCAACTCTTTGCGACCCCATGAACTATACAGTCCATGGAATTCTCTAGGCCAGAATACTGGAGTGGGTAGCCTTTCGCTTCTCTAGGGGATCTTCTTAACCCGGGAATCGAACCCAGGGATGGAACCCAGGTCTCCAGCATTGCAGGCGGATTGTTTACTAGCTTAGCCTCCAGGGAAGTCCTAGGCACCAGGGAAGCCCGTAATGGTGTTAGTTAAGGTAATGCCTGCAGCCCTGGTTGCATACAAACCACAAATTTCAGGGGCTTAGCGAACTCTTGAAGTTAATTCTGTTCTGTGAAATCCAAACCCAGTATTCGGATGGTGGTTGGACCAACTCCCAAAGGAGCTGCAGGAGCCTGGCTTCTCCATGTGGCCCCACAGGCTTCAGGCAGCTTCAGAAAGGGACAGGCACAGGGTTGGTGTCTGCGAGGGCTTCAGGACCAGCCCGAAGGGCCCATGACACCCAGTCACGCCCGGCTGGGTGCTCAGGAGGCTGAGACGGGTCTCTCACGTGCCTGGAGAAGGAGCAGATGGGTTTGGTGGGCAGATGGCTATGCCCTGTCTTGCTTGAATTTGGGTCTCATTTGTGGGGTGCAGGTGGGACGAGGGCGTTAGGGTCTCGACAACAGATTTGCTTTGCTAATTGCATTCTGTTCCAGGGAAAAAAACAGCTTGGGTTTTAAAACTAGACCAGAGGGTGTACTGCAGATCACCCACATGCAGAGCACCAGCTGTTTGTATCCCTTTGAGGATAGAAAGCACTTTATTAAGTAATAAAATTAGAGTTTGATTTTGAGTGGTTATACATTTTCCTTTTCCTTTGCAGTGCTGTATCGAAAAGGCCCTCCGTTTTACCATGCCAGGTTTGGAGTGATTCTTTTTTTTTTTTCGGTTGGAGTGTAGTTGATTTACAATGTTGTGTTGGTTTCAGATGTACAGCAAAGCGATTGATATGCATACACATATTTTTTACTTTTTAGATTCTTTTTTCACATAGGTCATCACAGACTATTGAGTAGAATTCCCTTTGATATACAGTAGGTCCTTGTTCATTATCTGTCTTATACAGAGAAGTGGGTGTGTGTTCATCCCAAGCTCCTGATTTAATGGAATGATTTTTAAATAAGGTAATGGCTTAAAGGGACGGGATGAAATTTCTGAGCTTCAGTTTAATTTTCAAAGGCACATGATTCCTCCTGGCCTAATAGGAGTCAGATTCCTCCTGGCCTAATAGGAGTCGATACTGTATATCTGTGCCTTGTACATTAATGCCCTTATGCTATAAAATAGGTCATGATAATGTACGTTTCAGCAGTAAACATTGAGTTAATCTGTGTAGTTACTAATATAGAGTCATTGTTCATCTTCGTATCAGTGAGTGTTAGTATCTAAACAGGTGAGTGAATTCACAGCTTTCACATTGGGAGAGAGATTCCCGGTCCTTTCCAGTAATTGCTGAAATCAGGCTGACTGTTTCTAATGTGAAGTATGAGCTTTTCACTAAAATATCTTTCCCAGGCGTAGTTTAGGGGAAATTCAGGATCAGACAATGTATGTTTCTGTCTCTGCATTGTCGTTCTTGGTAGAATAGCATTCTTTTTAAATGGGTTGACATCATGCTTTTCATTTCTGAAACGCCCCTCCCGTGTTTTCTAGCTACTCCGTCATCGTGGAGCTGGTGGACGACCGTTTCCAGGGTGCTCCTCGCAGACCTCTCAGCTGGAGGTCCCTGGCTGCCTTGAGCAGAGTTTCAGTCAGTGTCTCCAAGGTAACCCAGCATCAGCTTTGGGGCTCACATGTCACTTAAACGGTTGGATCTTCATATTAAATGTTTCGGAAGCATGAAACTCATCTGTGGGCACTCCAGAGCATTTGGGCCCGCGGAGCTCTGGAAGGTGGCCCTCCTCTCACGCCCTCCCCCTGCCCCCACCAGTGGGCGCACAGCTCCAGGGACCGAGCCCCGAGGTTCCCCGTGGGCATGGGTGTCAGTGAGCTTCGCCTTCCTTCCACGGGGCAGGACCTGCCAGCACGTGCTCAGCATCCTCCCACACACATTCACAGATGACTCAGAAAACATTCACATGTATGTTTTCACAGGTAGCAGGTCTCTCAGAGAAAGAAAGGGAATTAATGTTTATGACTGAACACCTCTGATGGCCCTGCCCATCAGAACAAGACCCAGTTTCCCCCTCAGTCAGTCTCTCCCATCAGGGAGCTTCCATAAGCCTCTTAACCTTCTCCATCAGACAGCAGACAAGACTGAAAACCACAATCACAGGAAACCAACCAATCTAATCACATGGATCACCGCATTGTCTAACGCAATGAAACTATGAGCCATGCCGTGTAGGGCCACCCAAGATGGACGGGTCATGGTGGAGAGTTCTGACAAAATGTAGTCCACTGGAGAAGGGAAGGGCAAACCACTTCAGTATTCTTGCCTTGAGAACCCCATGAACAGTATAAAAAGGCAAAAAGATAGGACACTGAAAGATGAACTCCCCAGGTTGGTAGGTGCCCAGTATGCTTCTGGAGATCAGTGGGGAAATAAATCCAGAAAGAATGAAGGGAGGGAGTCAAAGCAAAAACAACACCCAGTTGTGGATGTGACTGGGGCTAGAAGCAAGGTCCGATGCTGTAAAGAGCAATATTGCATAGGAACCTGGAATGTCAGGTCCATGAATCAAGGCAAATCGGAAGTTGTCAAGCAGGAGATGGTAAGAGTGAACGTCGACATTCTAGGAATCAGTGAACCAAGATGGACTGGAATGGGTGAATTTAACTCAGATGACCATTATATCTACTACTGTGGGCAGTAATCCCTTAAAAGAAATGGAGTAGCCATCATAGTCAACAAAAGAGTCCGAGATGCAGTCCTTGGATGCAGTCTCAAAAACGATAGAATGATCTCTGTTCATTTCCGAGGCAAACCATTCAATATCACAGTAATCCAAGCCTATGCCCCAACCAGTAACACTGAAGAAGCTGAAGTTGAACGGTTCTATGAAGACCTACAAGACCTTCTAGAACTAACACCCAAGAAAGATGTCCTTTTCATTATAGGGGACGGGAATGCAAAAGTAGTAAGTCAGGAAACACCTGGAGTAACAGGCAAATTTGGCCTTGGAGCACGGAATGAAGCAGGGCAAAGGCTAATAGAGTTTTGCCAAGAGAACGCACTGGTCATAGCAAACACCCTCTTCCAACAACACAAGAGAAGACTCTACACATGGACATCACCAGATGGTCAACACCGAAATCAGATTGATTATATTCTTTACAGCCAGAGATGGAGAATCTCTATACAGTCAGCAAAAACAGGACCAGGAGCTGACCATGGCTCAGATCATGAACTCCTTATTGCCAAATTCAGACTTAAATTGAAGAAAGTAGGGAAAACCACTAGACCATTCAGGTATGACCTAAATCAAATCCCTTACAATTAGACAATAGAAGTGAGAAATAGATTTAAGGGACTAGATCTTATAGACAGAGTGCCTGATGAACTATGGATGGAGGTTTGTGACACTGTACAGGAGACAGGGATCAAGACCATCCCGAGGAAAAAGAAATGCAAAAAACTAAAATGGCTGTCTGAGGAGGCCTTACAAATAGCTGTGAAAAGAGAAGTGAAAAGCACAGGAGAAAAGGAAAGAAATACCCATTTGAATGCAGAGTTCCAAAGAATAGCCAGGAGAGATAAGAAAGCCTTCCTCAGTGATCAATGCAAAGAAATAGAGGAAAACAACAGAATGGGAAAAACTAGAGATCTCTTCAAGAAAATTAGAGATACCAAGGGAACATTTCATGCAAAGATGGGCTCAATAAAGGACAGAAATGGTATGGACCTAACAGAAGCAGAAGATATTAAGAAGAGGTGGCAAGAATACACAGAAGAACTATACAAAAAAGATCTTTATTACCCAGATAACCATGATGGTGGGATCACTCACCTAGTGCCAAACATCCTAGAATGTGAAGTCAAGTGGGCCTTAGAAAGCATCACTAGGAACAAAGCTAGTGGAGGTGATGGAATTCCAGTTGAGCTATTTCAAGTCCTAAAAGATGATGGTGTGAAAGTGCTGCACTCAGTATGCTAGCAAATTTGGAAAGCTCAGCAGTGGCCACAGGACTGGAAAAGGTCAGTTTTCATTCCAATCCCTAAGACAGGCAATGCCAAAGAATGCTCCAATTACCGCCCAGTTGCACTCATTTCACGTGCTGGTAAGCCAGTGCTCAAAATTCTCCAAGCCAGGCTTCAACAATACATGAACCATGAACTTCCAGATCTTCAAGCTGGTTTTAGAAAAGGCAGAGGAGCCAGAGATCAAATTGCTGACATCTGCTGGATCATCAAAAAAGCAAGAGAGTTCCAGAAAAACATCTATTTCTGCTTTATTGACTATGCCAAAGCCTTTGACTGTGTGGATCACAATAAACTATGGAAAATTCTGAAATAGATGGGAATACCAGACCACCTGACCTGCCTTTTGAGAAACCTGTATGCAGGTCAAAGCAACAGTTAGAACTGGACATGGAACAACAGACTGGTTGCAAATAGGAAAAGGAGTATGTCAAGGCTGTATATTGTCACCCTGCTTATTTAACTTATATGCAGGGTACATCATGAGAAACGCTGGGCTGGAGGAAGCACAAGCTGGAATCAAGATTGCCGGGAGAAATATCAATAACCTCAGACATGCAGATGACACCACCCTTATGGCAGAAAGTGAAGAAGAACTAAAGAGCCTCTTTTGATGAAGGTGAAAGAGGAGAGTGAGTAAGTTGCCTTAAGGCTCAACATTCAGAAAACTAAGATCATGGCATCCGGTCCCATTGCTTCATGGAAAGTAGATGGGGAAACAGTGGCTGACTTTATTTTTTGGGCTCCAAAATCAGCACAGATGGTGATGGCAGCCATGAAATTAGAAGATGCTTACTCCTTGGAAGGAAAGTTATGACCAACCTAGACAGCATATTAAAAAGCAAAGACATTACTTTGCCAACAAAGGTCCGTCTAGTCAAAGCTATGGTTTTTCCAGTAGTCACTTATGGATATGAGAGTTGGATTGTAAAGAAGGCTGAGCACAGAAGAATTGATGCTTTTTAACTGCGGTTTTGGAGAAGACTCTTGAGAGTCCCTTGGACTGCAAGGAGATCCAACCGCTCCATCGTAAAGAAGATCAGTCCTGGGTGTTCATTGGAAGGACTGATGCTGAAGCTATAGCTCCAATACTTTGGCCACCTGACTGAAAGAGCTGACTCATTTGAAAAGACCCTGATGCTGGAAGGATTGGAGGCAGGAGGAGAAGGGGACGACAGAGGATGAGATGGTTGGATGGCATAACCAACTCGATGGACATGAGTTTGGGTGGACTCTGAGAGTGGGTGATGGACAGGGAGGCCTGGCGTGCTGCAGTCCATGGGGTCACACAGCGTCGGACACGACTGAGCAACTGAGCTAACTGAACACCTTATGTCTTCTCTCACCAACCTGTTGTTATCCGAAGGGCGAGGACTCAGTGTTAGGGAGGTCGGGTGATCAACCTGAGCTCACGCAGCTCATGTGCGGAACCCGGATTCAAACCCAGGGCCACGTGCTTCCCGGCTTGTATTCGCCTCCATCCCACCCCCGGCAGGATTGGAGGGACAGTTCACCCTGTACCAGGACTACAAGCAATGAACGTGCAGAGTGTCCTCTGTTAGTAGTTCTGAGTCCTCTGTCCCGCTGCCGGAGGCACGGGCGGCCCTGGGGAAGGGCCAGCGGGAGCCCACGGCCACTGCCTCGGTGCAGGCTAAGCTGCTGAGGCTTTGGCCTGTGAAAGTGGCTTTGTCCCGTAGAATTAGGGGGTCTGTGCTGACTCCAGCATTGAGCACTTTAAACGCTGCGCCTACACTTCAGTGTATGTGAAATGTAGTGTTTGCATTCGCCTGCCATGTCAGCGACGACCAGATGGCAGGTCTTCGGTCTAGAATGCCCAGTTACATTCCCCAGGGGAAACGGACATGCTTGTGAGTTGCGAGGGGGTAGAGGGGGCCCACATTTCTTGCACATGCACTCAGGTTTGTATTTCTGTTTTGTGTGATACGGAGTTTGTTTTTCCATGTCTCCTTAGGAACTTATGCTGTGCTATTTGATTAAACCCTCCACCATGACCGACAAGGACATGGAGTCACCCGAATGTATGAAACAAATTAAAGTTCAAGTAAGTGAACTCAGAGCCCAGTTCACGTCGTCCCGAAGGCTCTGCCCGTCGTGTTGTGTCTGTCCTCTGGAAGGTGCGGCCCCCAGACAGGATCAGCGTCTCCCCTCCGCCCTCCCAGACCCTTCCCCGCAGACCACGGCCTCGCTCCCCCTCAATCCCACAGCTCCACAGCCTCCATGCCGTCCATTTCTGTCCCCAGCACTCGGATGGAACCGCCTGCACTGCCAGCCTGGGGCCAGCCCGGCCTCTCCCGGGACTCAGTCCCCGAGACAAGGGTCGCTGTCAGCCCACTGCCCCCCAAACTTCTGGTCTGGCTCCGGGGCCTGGGCCAGGCTGAGGCTCCTGCATCTTCCTGGAGGGTGTTTCTTGGCCGGGACCTCCAGTCCATCCTCCAGGCGCCCAGTCTTGGTTAATACTTCTGTCCTTCCTCCCTGTTCCCGCCCCCCACCCCGCTGTCGGCCTGCGGAGTCCGTCTCCAGGGCCTCATCCCCCTGTTTGTCCTCATTGTGTCCACTGGGTTAGCTTTTCAGTAAATACCACTGGACCCTGGAGTCCCTTGTCTGTGCTGAGCCAGACACACTGGAGCCGGCACGGACCCGGTTCTGTGTTAGACGTCAGGTTCACACCAGTGCTTCCTATTCCTGAAACGCGCTGCCAGACAACCACAGCTGGGGCCAGGGGAGCTCTTAGAATCCTGGGGTGATGCCCGTAGATGCTCTTTCCACGCTGGGTTTGCCGCATTCACGTTTCTCCCCATGTTTAGTTGCAAGGAACAGCAGCAGGTACTGTCCTTGTACAGACAGGCGGCTGTGAAACATCCTTGTGATGCTGCATGTCTAGCGTGTTCGTGTATTTCTGCTTCCTAAATTCAGCCGCATTTGTGTTTGGATTGGTTGCAGGAAGTGATTCTCAGCCGCTGGGTCTCCTCACGGGAGAGGAGCGACCAGGACGAACTTTAACAGTTCAGCCTCAGGTTTCTGATCTCACCGGCAGACACCGCTGAGCCTCCTGCATGAGCCAGATTCAGGGCGAGGTAGAGTCCTTTCGAGGTAATCGCCCCTTAACGTAAAAGTTGTGAAGGGCGTGGCACTCCCGGCACCAGACAGTGTTAGTGTTCTAAAAGTTAAATTCGCGGAGGAAATCAGCCCTGTGTGGGGACCGCAGGTTCTGTCCTTGGAGTGCTCGCTCGCCGACCCCCAGCCTCTCGCCCTGGCGCCTCAGTGGCTCTGGGAGGCAGACTCTCCCAGCAGCAGGGAACTTCTGTTACTCTCCGATTTCACCTGAGACCGTGGCTTCCCAGCAGGCGGCTCCCACTGTGCACCTGCCTCTTGTTACCCACGTCCAGGCTGTCCTGGAGGAGGGCGTTCTGTCCACAGGTCTCAGCTCTCCAGGAACTTCAGCCAGCTACCCCAACGCGGAAAACCCCATGTACTGTCTCCCCAGGATTGCTGCGTCATAAGAAGCATTTTAAAACAAGTCACCTCGTGATCTCAGTGACCTCACCGGCGGGCATGTGTGTAGCGCACACGACAGTATGGTACAGGGCTAGATAAGAGTTGTATATTGCTTCACCGAACTTGTCATGAAATAAAAGTAGGTGGTGAGAAAAATGAATCGAGGTGTTTGGTGAGTGCAATTAATATTTCATAAAACACTAGACGAAGTAAGTAAAAATTACTTTGTCTAAAAAAAAAAACAAACAAAGGAAAACAGAATTGTGTAGACAATGAAGAGTGTTACCTGAGGGCCAGGAGTGAGTCGGGATGAGTGGGCAGGGCCGGTGAGCAGTGTCTGAGATTCAGCGCCCAGATCCACGCCCCTGGCGGGCAGGCCTCTCCTTGCCACTGACCGCCCCGGAAGCAGACAGTTAAGAACCTTCTTTGGAAGCCATGAGATGGGAAAACCAAAGCAGGCCTGTCCGCATTCCGCTCACCTTGGTGTCGGAGCTCCTGACGACCAAAGTCCTGCCTGAGGCTGTGTGTTCGTCACACGCTGCTCCTCTCCTCCTGATCCTGCTCTCGCAGCCTGATGGTGAAGCGTGTGTCTCACAGATTTGGCCTCCAGATGATGGAGATCTGTCCTCCACCACCACCGCACCCCCCTGGCCAGTAACGCCCGTCAGTTTGAAAGCGTCTCCAGTATACCCTGCTCTTCATTAGTGACAGGACGAGTTGCTCAGCATTTTTATCATCCACCTGGCTTACTCCAGGCTCCCTTAGAGCAAGACTTGGCTTTGAATCATCACTTTCTTGAAACCTTGACAAGTCAGCAAAAAAATTTCCAAAGCCGCCTCTTTCCTATTTGATTCATCCTTTGTGAGGCCTAATCAGGGCATCGAATGCTTTAATGGTAGACACTCTTGCCATGGATCCTTCACCAGAGGACCGTCACCCTCTCAGCTCTCCGGATACTGTGTCATCAGCTAATAGCCTCGAAGATTGTGGTGACTCCTTGGAATAAAGGCTACAGAAAAGGTGTAGGAAAGCGTGAAGACCACAGTTAAGACTTGTAACTGAAAGCTCCAGAAGGGTGCCTGCAAGCCTTGAGGGAAAGATTCTGCCCCACCGTGTATGGTTTGAACACCAGATAGCAGGCCGTGCACTCTGAGCGTCAGAGGACGATACACCAGCCAAGGTTAGATGCAGCTACGGGGTAGATAGAGCAGCCAACGTTTTGGTTTAAGTCAGCCTCGAAGTCTCCAGCTGAAAGCAGGATCAGCTTGCCTGTGGAAGCATTAGACCTAATACCTCTTTCTTACCTTCTGAAGGAAATGTACAAGATGGCATTTGTTTAGAGTAGGAAATGGCAGCCCACTCCAGTATTCTTGCCTGGAGAATCCCATAGAGGAGTCTGGCAGGCTATAGTCTATGGGGTCACAAAGAGTTAGACATGACTGAGCAACTGAGCCTACGTATACTGTGACATTTGTTTAAAAAAAAAAATCTCAGTTTCATCAAGATAGAAAAATTGCTCTGTGATACAGCCATCTTTGGCAGTTTCTGGGATTTGCTGCCCACCCCGCTTTCAAAGCATCAGACTTACATGGTTCTTAAACCTCACAGGCCTGCCAGGCTTGCCTAAAAACCAGAGTCCGTCCGCAGACCCTCGCTCCGCACCGCCTTTCTGCCTCTCCCTCTGTGCCAGCACAGGTTCTGCAGCGTCACGCTGGCTGGTTTGCATCCAGCTCAACCGCTGGCTGACTGTGAGGCCCTAACTTCGGTTTCCTCAGCTGTTAAGTGGGATTGATGTTACCAGCATACACACGCAGTGGAACAGACGGTTCAGCCACAAAAAGGAATGAATACTGACACAGATGGACCTCAGAGACATGCCAGGTGACAGAAGCCGGCACAAAAGGCCACATACTGTGTGATTGCGGTCATATACGCAAGTAGATAAGTCGACACAGAACTTAGATTGCTGTGGTCACCATAGTCTATAGCGAGGGAGGGATGGAGGAGAAACTGGTTAGTGGCTACGGACTCTCCTTCTGGGGCAATGAAATGTTCTAGGATCAGATAGAGCTGCTGGTTGTACGACATTGTGAATGTACTAAATGCCATTAAATTGTTCAGAGTTTTTATATCTTTGTATTTTACATAAAAATAAAGTTAAATATCATTAACATGATGTGAATCTCAGCTCAATAAAAGAAAGTAAAAATAATGATACAATGTTGCTGGGAATTCCCTGGCAGTTGGTGGTTAGGACTTGGTGCTTTCACTACCGTGGGCCCAGGTTCAGCCCCTGGTCAGGGAACTAAGATCCTGCAAAAGCCGTACACCGTGACCAAGAATAGTAATGACGTTACTGACCCCAGCAGGTTGCTGGAGGATGTGGTGGGTCGATCCATACCAACTTCTTTAGCTCAGAGCCTGGCCCATAACACCCTTCAGCACTTTGCAGGTGTGAGGGTTCATTTGGGGGGTGGGGGAGTCCCTGCATCCTTAGAGACATAGTGCACCTCATCCGTGATGGCTGTTATTAATACTTGTTGATGGTGGTTACCATAGGTTGATCCTCTTAGCTACAGTTCTAGAAACTGACCTTTTCTCATCTCAGCTCCAGACTGTGAGGGGAAATGGTGGCATCTTTGCCTTCCCTGTCCTAGACTTCCGTCATAAAGAGATTCAAGAAAACGACAACAACAACAAAAAACTATGTATAACACTCAGCTCCCACTCATATTGGTTTAATATATAACATTAAACCAGTGTGAGTAGGACACCATTTTAGGCAGGTTGACCAGGCTCAACCTGGTTAGGTTTCCCAGCGTTTCTGAGCCTAGTATACAGATCTGAATATTCATTGTTATTTATTGATAAACTTTTTTTTTCAATCTTCATTTATTTTTACCTTTTCTGTTAAAGCATTTTCATTTTCTCTTTAAAAAAAAAAATTGCTCTTTACTTGAATGTGGGTTTTCATTTTCTCCTGTGGGAAAAATACTTAGGCTAAAAAGAAATGTCTCTCCTCTCCACCCCCACCTTCATTTATCATATTTATTGGGTTTGCCTGGTTGTAAGAGTAATCCAGCGCGTTGTAGAGGCTTTGGAAAAATACCTTCATGTGGGTGCGTTTAGTCCCGAGAATCGGCGACTCTCGGGCACGGTCTGGCGTTGCCGGGAACAGGAGCGCTGAGGGCGACAGACGAGTGCCCAGGGCCGCAGTAACCGCTGTGCTGCCGAGACGTGTGTTTGGGGGACCCTGGGGGGCCGCTGGCACTCATTTGGGGGCGGAGTCGGCGCCAGCACTGACTCTCCTGCAGTTAGCGTTTGGCCAGTAGGATCACGGAGACGACGGATTCTCAGTCTGCAGTTCTTCAGAACTGAGCCACGCTGCCATCTGTTGTTGTTGTTCTGATGCTTCACTTCTTTCACTGGGGTAAAACCTGTACACTGCGATTCTGTGAGCAGGGAGTTTGTAGCCTGTGTGCCTCACGCTGGCAAAGAATCCACCTCCACTGTGGGAGACCTGGGTTCAGTCCCTGGGTTGGGAAGATCCCCTGGAGAAGGGAATTGGCTACCCACTCCCGTATTCTGGCCTGGAGAATTCCATGGGGTCGCAAAGAGTTGGACATGACTGAGCGACTTTCACTTTCGAGTGAAAGAAAAAAATATGAGGTTGATTGCTGCCAAAGTCACCTCCGGGGTGCAGAACAACCCTGAAAATAGGGAGTGGGGATCTTGAAAGCTTTGTTTGAAAATCAAGGTCACATGGCACTAGAGAAAGTAGCATGAAATTAGGGTTTCTAATATTTACCAGTTCTTATTTAATCGTCCCACAGTATGTTTCTTCTGTTCATATTTGAATGCCGATGAAAGCATCCTCATCTTCTTCTTTATCTTCCCTCACGATGGCAAATCACTGGCCCCATTTCCTGTGTCACCCTGTGTACCGCCAGTCACTTTCTGGTAGCTGGATGGTGGAGGCGACTGCACGGGCTTTGCTATCAAACCTGGTCTCAACCCTGGTTTTGCCACTGACTGCCTTTGGGGAAGTCAGTTTCCTTTCTCATCTGTACGATTGGCATGCTTAAGTACCAGTCTCAAAGGATGGTCTTAGGGATTGAAAGGGAAGAGTAGAAAGTGTGTGCTCTGGTGTGGAGTCATACATGAGCACTCATCAAATGCAGCTGTTATGATTACTAATATTAATAATCAAGTAAAGAACTGGGCCTGGAAGTGGAATCCTGAGACAGCGTGAAGAGAAAGGGGGAAGGTGGGCATATCCTCCAAACTCAGTGTTCCTCTCATCTTCACCTGCTGGGGGTCTTTATGATTCCTTGAATACACAGAATAGCAGGCACAGTTGTTTAAGGTGGTCTCATTCTCTAGGTAGCAGGTTTTGTGTTTCTTAAAGAACAGTCCTGAAAGCTTTACAAATACAAAAGTTGGTCTGCCTGCATGTTTTCCCACTGAAGTTGACAGGGCTGGAGCACTGACCAGTACCTCTCTAG